GCGACCAGTCGCTAGCGACCGGTCGCGCGATCGATCGCGCGACTGGTCGCGCGACCGGTCGTGGACTATGAAAGATGCCATTCAGAATCGTATAGGCGTATTGAATTCGTCTGGGGCCTATACACTGACTGGCGCTCGCCAACCGATGTACAGGTCAGTGCTTACATCCTTCCAGACGACTCTACCAATTAACCGACGACGGAGGGATGGAAGGCTTAGGTGGTCTAGGCGGGTATCGATCCAGCACTCGAAATCGGCACCATGATGAGTGGTAAAGCGCCTTTTTCCACTACTCCTACCTCTGCCCATATAATTAAAGCTTAAAGCTTTGATACACACTAAGGGTGAGTCATGTACTCGACCTCCTTCTTGGTCATTAGAGGAGAGAGAGAGACATTTTTAGAAAGGGAAGAAGACCTCTTTGCCCGTAGTTTTAAAAAGCAGAAGACGCGAGACCCATCTAAAAACTAGTCCTAAACTCCTTGGAAAGTGGGCCTCCGATTTGGGCCGTCAAGGTCCAGCTCCAGCTTAAGCTCGAGATCAAAAGACTTTCTGGCTTAGGCAGGATTCCGTTCATATCTGGACATGTACACAGTGGCTCGTGACTTCTGCCATCCGCCCACCTCTACTTACCCGTTCCCACAAAACCGTACACAACCATAAAGACTGAGGTAATTTCCGAGGAAATGCTTTCCACCCCATAGACTGTGCACATAAGGCTTAAGTCAGAAAATTTAGCGCTCAGGAATGGAGTATCAATATTGACACTTCTTGATCAAGTTACTGGATTGTTTTTTGATTTGCAGTAACAATTCAAGTTGCACGGAGAAGCCTAGACCCTTCTTGTCTATCATAACCTTTTCTACAAGAATAGGGTGCATATTATCTAGGAGTACACGTACAGTGATTTTCCTGTTTCAATTGAAACTGAAAAGCCGGTGCACCTCCCACGCCGATCAACCAAAGCCTCGTACCTGGGAAGGTTCACTAGAACCTCCCAAAGTGTGACTGACTATGAGGGTAATGGCCTATACCCTTCTGGCGCCACAAAGGCTGGCTGAACGGAATAGGAGATTCCCTCTACTCCTCGACTGTATGAACTTTCTTCCTCCTGAGCCATGCCACCGTTGACGAGGGCCTATACTCGTTTACGAAGGCTCTCAATTGATTTGAGGATAAAGAATCCCGCTGGTGATCAAATTCGTTCCGGAATGCGCCCCGCATTTGACTTCCATTAAGAACTATAATGGCGTTCTGAAAGTATATGTGGCCTATGTGACTTGCGGTAGCCAGCCGATGTCGAGTCACTACTTTTGTTCGGTCAGATAGATCTGGTATCGGCGATGGTAGTCTAGGTTGAATTAGACCGGGACCAATCTGGAATTCGACCCTGGACTATCTATATGACACTGCCCCCTTGCCACTGCACTACCTCCTCACCATGGAGTGAAAATCCACAGTTTCAGCTCTCTTCTGAGGGGACCTAAGATAATTTGATTATATCATTGGAGAGCTGATATTTTTCGGAAATCTCAGAACGTCCTTGAAAGAACACGATCTTGGAAGCACAACAATTTGAGAGGGTCTCGATAGGCTTTCAGATTTTTTGGAAGGTGCTAGTAATAATTCTAATGACTTAAGCATGTAATTGTAGGGCGTAATTGTTGTATATCTTCATTAGCATCAACGTGACAACATCACATTCACGTTAATTTTCTTACGAAGCCTTTTTTGAGAATGATGCTATCTCAGTAAAACCCCTGAAACGACGATGAATTTAGCGCTATCGTCACGTTCTTGGGATTGCGCTCGCTGGGAGGATTGCCCCGATTTCAGGAAGACTCGGATTAAGGAGAAGAGGCATTGAAGATACCTGTTCGAAGAGAACCATTCATCACGTTTTTCCTCACATTCGGGCCTTCAATGGGCGAACTCTGCTGTGTATGTTTTCCTAAAATGCCGGTACCATAATCTTCAATCTTACCCACGTACACAATCCGCCCCTTCTTGGAAAAGTTCCTACTTCCTCCCCAAAGGCACGGTCAAATTCACTACGCATGGATGGAGAGTTCACACGGCTTCGCGGTGGAGGAAGTGTTGTAGGTGGACGTATAGAACTGAATAAAGCCGTCGTGTTCCTCGTGACCTGCTCATTCTAAACGACTTCGGCACTTCTATTCTAGACCTTCTCAGTAGTGTAGGAGTGAATGTAGCCGAAATCCGACAGGAATGAACTAGATCACAGGTGCTTCTCGAACACACAGTCAGAGCTTTTTCTCCTACTCATTTAAACCTTTATGGGCAATTTTCGGAATGTAGGGGCATTATTATGCGCCATTTCATAAAGAGATGATGTCATGCATACAACGGGAAGCCCATAAAACCGGACATACGGCAGTTTAACGTTATCCGTAGTTGTCTTACCAACGCTAGTCCTTCCCCATTTGATTTATGTACGTCAGCAACTACGAACTCCCTTTTAAAAAGGGTCTACTTAATTAGAATGTGAATCACATCAGGCAGATCACAGGAATGAGATGTGATGTCATGAAATAGGCGAGCGTCAGCGTAAAAAAAACGACTCCATGGCTACCACACAGGAGCTGACCATCACAGACTAAGTGAAGCGTAAAGGGCATTTTTCATCAATCATAAAACTATTGGGGAAAGTGATTAAAAAAACGAGAACAAGTTCGACCTCCTCAAAAAATCATTTTGGGATTTCTGCGTATATGGGCTACATTAGTGCTTTTTACCCTCCCAGACTAATGTGGTAGTATGGTACCCGATCTGCGAGAGATGGAAAGCCTGGTTGGCCAAAACAGGCTCCGTATGGGATCCAATTCCCGAACCATAAGTTTTGTTAAAATGCCTCCATGCCACCTCTGCCCTCGGAAATCAAAATAAAAGTTATAATAGTGAAAATGAAAGGAAAAAATGACTTGTTGAACAATGATGTAAGTGCATAGTATCACCTTGCTATCAAACAAATGTAAATCTTCCTTTCTTTAGAGCATTGGGAAAGTGTTCAGCAGTGTGGGTGTGAAAAACATCCTGTATACTATCAAAAAAGTACTCCAAAAGCATGTTCGAAAAGCTCCAGAAACTTCGAGTCCACAACGCACTAGACGAAAATTGAACTCTTACCGCATTCCAAAGGAATGCGCATTCCAAAGGATTGTGCCATTGCTCAAATAGGGTAAAGGTTGCTTCTGCTTAACACTTAGTAAGCCGTTACATCTATCAACGAGGAGTTGGCCGATATTACAGCTGATACAGAAAAAAAGGAAATACCACTTCTGAGTTGAATTCCTGAATTTCTTCGAGACCCGCATCCAAAGACAGCGCGGAAGATGTTCTCTTCCTCAAAATT